CATCTCTCTAACTTCGTTCTCGAGATTAAGGAAAGACGGGCGGATGGGCGGACGACAGTGGGAATTTATAGGTCTACATTTTTTTCAAATTGCAGTCCAATTACACAACTATTCATCCATGTGTCTACATCAACATCACAGCTACGTCTTGATTTGTTATATCTCCATCTCGGATTTTTAAATTTTAAATGTAACTTCATTTTATGACCCTTTCCGCAAAAATGTTGAGAATGTAATATAGGGGAGACCGGGGCAAGATCGGCATGTTAAGCTTTACTTAAATTTTGTGTAATAAATACTGCTGTAAACTGAAAAAAAAGCTTTGCATATTGTCTATTGGAATGTTACCTTACTATAGAACTGGTTAAAATCAGTTTGGAAATAAAAATAATTAAAATAATTACAACTTTACAAGAAGAGAGAAATTGACGAAGTTGCCCCGGGTATAGGGGCAAGATCGGCAACTTCTCTCTTTTTGTAAAGTTGTAATTATTTTAATTATTTTTATTAAAGTTGCCCCTGGTATAGGGGCAACAGTAATGGGGCAAGATAGGCACGTATATAAAATTATGTTATTAACAATGTATAAGTTGGAATTCACTATTAAAACAAAGAAATACAAATCCAACACCCATTTAATATTATTACAACGAAATGCAAGTTCAAAGACATATATACATGAATAACAAATGCAAACATGTTTTCATTTATCATCTGTTTGATTTTTATCCTTTGCTTCTAATGTGGCTTTATGTTGCCGATCTTACCCCGCTAGTCATGATTTCGAAACATTAAGTACAACCCTGAGAACAGAATGCCAAGCCACGATCTGGCCACGTGAATAAGTTGAAGTTACATCCTTCTAACAGGAAAAGTAACTTTCGTTATCATGGAATTATAACAAAACCTGCCAATTCAATATAAATGGAAAAAAAATATTATATGGAATTGAACGAAAATGAAAATTTGCTTGATAATTCAACTACGCTTGTTGGAGAACAATAAAAACACTACACTCAACAAGCCACCAATAAAAATCAACTGCCTAACCTATAACCAAAGTCTCCTTTTAATTTGTTTTTAAAAAAAAGCGCTTGACAAACTTGCCCCGCATGCCGAAGTTGCCCCGGTCTCCCCTACCATATTCCTGCAAAATACGAAACACCTCTTCTGTCGTAATCAAATTAAAAAGGTTGAACGAATAACATTCTCCAACCAAAAACTGCTTAAATGGTAAACTAATTTGAATATCAACATTCAGCAGTGGTTTATTTGCGATGTGTTTTATTTATTAAAATTAATTCTGGCTTTATAAACACACAAAAATATTTTAATGTTTTTGAAACAAATGATTATTATTTACATTCTAATTTGTGCACAATTTAATATTTTGATTTGATCTTATGTTCAAATTAGTTTACGTGATTTCTTAAACAATGCCACAAGAGCGCGACGGACACAAGAGATTGGAGGCGAGAGGATAACTCGCCTTACCGAAACCAGGTAAACAAGATGGAAGAGCGAAAATGAATAAGAGAATGCGTGAAATGGATTGGAGTGTAGACAATATGGGACAAAACTTCGGGAATGGATACCTCATTTAAATGGAAGAAAAATAAAAGTATGGGTCCGAGAATAACTTATTTTTTTATTCTGTATCCAACTTCAGGAATCCATGTCCGAAGTTTTGTCCCATATTTTTGAATCATCCTCTGCCTCTGGCGTTTTGTCAACGCGTCGCTCCATGACGATAACGTTGCGACACCAACATTTTGTATCTCACTCCTAATGTTATCCTGGAAGACATCAGTCGTGTTACAGTACTCTCTTACCTTAAGATAACCACACGAAAAGAAGTACGGGTTGGCGACAGTGGTGGACAAAGATTCACAGAGATGACAGCCTAAAATATTCTGGATTTTCGCCATTGGCTCATGTGATGTGTGAAAGTTGCTCTGCCTTGCTAGAAGTCAAGTTGTTCAACGAATTCTATGAAAAATTCGCACGTATGCAACGGTGTTCAGTGTTTCTCTAAAGAAAAAGGAACCGAGTCGTACCACTGCCGCCACTCCAGCACTCCATATGTTTGCGTATTTTTGCTTATGTTGAATTCTGAAACTCTCATCGAATTCCATTCGTTCGTTTAAGATTTATAACAAAAAAATTTGGGTTCGGTCCTATATGAATTACCCTATATGTAAAACGATAAATCTATCGATAGAAGAATGAAGAAAATTGAAGTCCATGAATATTCCCAGAATAGAAGCATTATAACCATATCAAATCTATCGGTAGTTGAAATTAAAACTTAAATTTTTACTTTAAAAAATACAGTAGTTGTTTCAACTCTGTAACTTTTGCAAGCACAGATTCGAAAAAGTTAACCATCTCTGAAGTACGGGTTATAAACGATTTGATGGTATACAGTATATACGGTAATTTAAATAATATTTGTAATATTATTAATTATATTTAAAATACATAAAGTAAATATACGCTACTCTAATTAAAATAAATTTAAGAAAAACCGATTGAGAACAGGAGGATTATAAACCGAGCTCGATACAAAACCAAAATTATAAATAAAGTTAAAATAAAATGAAAATACACAATAAAATAAACGAACGAAAACGTTATGTTCCTGGCAAATTCCTCCGACGTTTCATGTTGGGAATGCGTGGCACAGATTCGCCACTTTTGTCCTAGATAAGTTATATGAATGCGTCTAAGTGGCATAAGCGAGTAATTCAATGGCATAGATTGTCACTGAATTAATAGTTTTTCTTATAAGTTACAATGCTTATTCGTTCGTTACTTAACTATTCACCGTTTAAACGTGCCCTATATTAAATCTAGCACCGATATGTACGAATCATCACGAAACATTCGGATTCCTCGCAGAAATTTGTCTTCCATATTATTTGGTGAAATTGAAAACAAATATGAAATAAATTCTGAGGAATTTTCCATTTTTCGATAGGATGCGGTACAGAAATACCGCGACGATAACTGAAAGTGTATTAATAGGAAGAGGAAAAGTGTTTAAATTTCTTAAATCTAAGTTTACACTAGAAATTGCTTGACGAGTGATCGATATTCATATTAAGAACGAACAACATTTCGAAATTTTAAAAACCAGAAACACGAATATACATTGAAACCCGAACGGACAAAACATGCTTGACTTCGGGCGGAATTCGAATTCGCGACTGATGATGATAATGAGTATGACCTCAAATGCTTGATAAAAAGACCCGCTTACTTGTTAGTGCCCATATACCGTATTAGAGAATTAAAAAAACAATCCTCAAACGCTCCGCATCTTCCGTACCGATCGAGATATCCAATACGTGGGTGCTGGGCTCTGGTTTTCCTATTACATATAAATTAGAGATGTCGCGGGCGACAAAACGATGCCCGACGAAAAAAGATCACAAGGATTAGGTTCGAATTCAAATCGGACTCCCTGGTGATGCGGAAGAATCTCTCATCTCATTGGATTTTATACGAGAACCAATATTTAATCGACGTTTATACATTTCATTTAATTCGAGGCAGAATTTGCCAGTTTAAGTAAAACCTTAATTTATTTCGTGCGAAAAATATAGGTTAAATAATGGAAGAGTTACTTTATTCCAAAGTTTGATTTATTTACCACATTCGAAATGGAAAATAATCATTCTATCAATAGCCAGTGTATTAATACAATTTGTGTACATTTTGTAATCTTTATTATTTCTTTTTATTTTAAAAATCAATGGCATTAACTGATCAACCGATTAAGGAAATTGTAGAAGAGGAACGAACCTCGTTAGAACGAACGATATCTCCGTCACACGCCATATATGAAGTGTAAAAATCATCAACGCGCAAACATTTGTTACGTGTTTACTTGTTTCTAATTTGAAAACTCGCATCGATATTGAAAGAACGGCGAGATTTTCGAGTTCCAAAATACGACCGAAAATTTTGAGAAAGGAAATTTTGAATATTTCCCTAGAAAGATCGAAATATTCGGTTGAAAGAGCGCGTAAACATTTCGAATCGCTATTCCAATTTAACACGAACGTGGTCCATTTATTCCTGAGTTACGACGAGTTTAGTCTTCCGCATTTCGTAAAGGCTTACTAGAACAAAACCGAATTCTAATTTGTCTACCTATCGACCGGATAAAAGGTGGAGAATTCTCGTCCAAGGACAATATCATTTCCGACCAGAACTGTACTGGAAGTTTCTTAGCGACGCGTTGGAATGGGACGAAACTCTAAGTCACACTCCGAAAAAAACAAATGCGGAACCGGTCACGACACGACAATTTAAAGAAAAATTCCGGAAGAAGGGGAAAGCGTTTCCGTCGCCCGACGAACTTTCTCGTCTTTTATAAAAGCCACGTTGGGCCAAAAACCGGTCCACCGGAGCGCAAGCGAGGAGAAAACTACTTCGACCCAAAAACAAAAGTCAGCCGCAAGACTGGACAATGGGACTCTTTTGTCCGCTTCGATCGTCGCTAAAGAGCTGCCATTAAAGTTTTGAAAAGACGCTGTCTTTTGTCCGCGATGGATTCAATGGAGCCGAACGCTATTACAATTAATTAGCACTCTAATTACGCCTTCGTTCCGTTATCGCGTTCCGCTAATCGGTCCCGTGGCGCCATCTGTCGACGGCGACTCGGACTTCACTTTCGAAAACAAACTTTTTACCTGAGGACGCGGTAGCTAAAATTCGCAGAAATCCGAACGAAAACTTCGACGACGGTTAAATTACGAGAGATTTCGACCCTTGTCGTCGGTATTTCTTCCGTGTTCGGACCGACGCTGGAAAGAAGCGCGCAATGACTGGTGACCCCAGTCGAAATCGGAAAAAAGTTTGCGTCCCGTTTATCCGGCGGAAGGCTGCCCGACCCGCCGCCCTCGGCCTCCTTCCGGACGCGCTAACGGTCGCGTGCCTAGAAAACGGCGTCGCGTCCGAAGGAATTGGCGCGCACGGGGAAGTGTACTCACCGAAGATGTCGAGAAGGAAACTGGTGAGCAGACAAGGAGAGACGGCTTCCAGAGTGGCGCAGAACTCGCGAAAGACGGCGAACCCCTTTTTTGACAGGATGTCGACCAACACATCCACTTTCTTCTCCTGGCTTCTCTCGTTTCTGGTGGCCTGTTCTTCGTCCGCACCGATCAGTCCTTTCTGGCGCAGCGCGTAGACGATCTTGTCCGCATCCGAGGCACCGATTTTCGACTTGTGCCTCTCCAGAACCCTCCACAAACCCGTCACCCCCGCCATTTTGTCGTCGCGCGGACTGGACCGACGCTGGCCCGGCGGCGCCATCTAGCGACGGCGGCCGAACCTCGCCGGAGGACGCCCGCCCGGTCCGGGGTTAACGGACCCCGGACGCTCTCTTCCCTGCCTCCGTTCCTTTCCACGGTCTTCGTCGCTTCCCCCGTCCCGCCATCTGGAGGTCTCCACCTCAACTAACTTTTCCAATACGCTTACTTTTTCCTCCGATAATTTCTTTCGTATTACATTCCTCGCGTAGTCTTATTTTTAACTTTTTATATTTTCCCGACATTTATTTCTACGTTGGCTTCCAAAGAAATTCGGCGCTATCGGACGATTTCCATCGCGTAAATTCGCTTTTCCGGGAGATAACATTTGGGCGCGTGACAAACCAGATAACTGGATGCAAATTGCAAGGTCAAAGAATTCGGATTCCAATCGATGCTATACTCCATTTTACAAATCTCTATTAATCGTCATATTTATTCGACTTATTAAAAATATAAATCGGTGGTTGGGCGAAACTACTTTCGCCATTCTCCACCAACGCGTGCCCGAATCGATACCTTCCGAAAAAGAAAATTATTTAATACTGTATGTCAAAATTTAAGTTTACTCGCGAATTAATAAATTGCTTCTCCAGGCGAATCGAATAAAGTCTTTCGAAAAATATTTTTAGTGGTACTATTATAATTATATATGGTGAGGGAATTTCCTTGTCTTTATTATGTAAATAAACGAAAAATCAAGTAGACCAGAAGTCAGAACACTCAATTTTTATTTGTTTTTAATGAAAAGTACATTAGAAGAATGCGCTTTATGTGTGCGTATGTTTTATTTATTATTATATTAATATTGAATATTTATATTATTGGTGTAAATTTAATAAATTAAATTATTCGAATTATTTTATCAAATTCGATTGGAGGTCAAACAACTTTTTCTATATTTTCTCTAAATGGGTGTGTCTAATGTGTAAATATAAAACAATTTAAATCGTAGCATTTAATTTGTTGAAAGACATTTACAGCCATTTTAAGGTTATAAATGCTCAAGAACCGTTTTAAAGTTCTTGTTTAATATTATGCGTATCCTCACGAATACGTACGATTAAAAATTTAAGCCATCGAAATCCATTTACCCTCGTAAACGCACGTAAAACAATTTAAATTTTAAAGCCAATTACAGTCGATCCCCATATAACACTGTTGATTATTCCGTTTTATATGAATTCCATGTTGTACGAGTCACTTAGATTTTACAAATACGTGAGCCATTCACAGCCTGGCACACTTATTTGTAAAATCTAAGTGACTCGTACAACATGGAATTCATATAAAACGGAATAATCAACAGTGTTATAGGGGGTCGACTGTAACTATATTCGAGAAGCAGGTAAAATTAGACATTTCAATAGAAATTCTGAAAGTATTTCTTCTAACCGACTCGGTACTTACCCACAATATTCCAACGCAAATACGGAAGTATCTTTTTGATAATAAATGACGTAAATCGAGCCGAACAAATTCTTTTGTATGAGCTGTTCCACGTGTCTTATATACGAAATTTTATTTTTACTTTTCCGATGGTTATACAAATATATGAGGGGGAAAGTATGGCGATCAATCAAGAATTTTACATTTTCGGACTTGGGGACCTTGAAACATCGGGAAACGCAGAAAAGATTCGGCTTTTTTTTTGTATGGGGGCACGACTTTGAAGAAGCTTAAATAACTCCGGTCTTTTATCGAAAATTTCTGAAATTTTGTAGGATTAATGCTATTAAATTTTGGTGGTTAAAGGTCGAGGGTGGGAAGATAGAAGGGGTCATTTGTCACACCTCGAATAGGGTGGACTTAATGAAGATTTACTCGTTATTAGCATTTACAATTTTTTTTTCTTTTATACGGGGTTCCTACTCACATTTTTGTTTTAAATTCCATGACTTCCTCTGAACAGCTTTATACAAATTCCCCGACCCTCACATCCCTTACAGTATGGTGCATTGAGAAATTAAAACAGTATTTGATTTACTATGCACATATGCCATTGCTTCTCCAACTTTTTAGTTAACAGTTACAGTAGAGCGTCTTTTATCCGAATCAATTGGAAACTGTGGTTGTTCGGATAACTTATTTTTCGTATAACCAATTATGTACAAAAAAATATATTAACCTATTCCGTGTTGAAATTTTTCTCCGTTGCGTGTCGCTCCGCATTGAATTTTCGTCGATGTTAAGCCTAACGTAAACTTTTTATAATAATACTCGTGGCTCTTGTATCGTTAAAAATTATTTCTTTATTTTTTACAAACAAAATAAATATATATATTGAAAAATATAAAAACAAAAAAATTATACTTTAGAAGTTAATCTAGTATCAAAAACGTTGGATTCAGCATGACACAGTCTTCAGAAAAACACACGTGCGACTAAATATCCAGATGGCACAACGCGTTGATTGGTCAGCTGAATGACGTCAACCTATGAAAATAGGAAATGTTGATCGATTAGCCTAAACTTTGTATTGTTGTTGTGTGAGAGTGGGCAGACATTATAGTTATAGACTTTTCATCTAAAACTTAATAAAAGGCACTTACAATTTCACTAGCTCTTGTGTCTATTGATGTTAATTGAAAATTTTGCAATAATTTTAACATTAAATTACGCGATATCAAAGATATTAATGTTGAGACATTTTTAATAACTTTTATCTGTTTTGTATTTTTGTAAGCTTTTTTGTACATTTACTATAATAATAAAATAATCAAAAACAACAAATGTAAATTGCAAATTAAGTTTTTTTTACATTCTTTATTGGACAATACAGTATTTTTAACCTTACAGAAACTTGTATTTAATGTTTTATATATATATTACAACAGAATACAGTCGACCCCCCTATAATTACGGTCCCTATAGTTACGATTCCTATAAAACTACGAAAAAATTGCTACCGGTATCCGTAAAAAATAGTAAAAGTTCCCTATAAACACCTCAAACGTCATCGGGAAGCCGAACTACTTTCCCGCCGTCCGTAGCGCCACGCTACGGAGAGATTTCTATCGTCTGGACAGTATTATATAAATTATATATAAATTAGGTACTGTACATATAATTATATATTAATTATATATAAATTAGGTACTGTATATATAATTATATATTAACTTATTGTAACTTTGTTATAATTAAATATATAATTTCCGCCGTCTAGCGTGGCGCCACGCTACGGAGATTTTTACGCTAACTATCGTCTGTCAGTATGTAAATTAGGTACCGTAAGTCTAATACAGTACTGTAATTTTATACATTTCTTGTGAAAGAAACATTTCTTATTCAACGGCGATTAAAATTATTTATATTAATGATGTCTCCGAAGTTCTACGAAGTTTTCACAGAAAAATAAGTTGTTAGAAATCGGCCGCTCTTTGCTGAGCTGTTCCGCGACGAAAACAATGTTGAGCAATGGCAATGTCGAATGGTGACACTCGGTAAGTAATCCTACAATTTTTTGTTTATAGCGTAGTTTATACGGATTATTCCCAAAAAATATATACGTATTTTGGAAATGTTGAGTCGGATTAGTCTAGAATCGATTAATTTTATGGAAGAAAATCTTTCAAACAGCCGTAGTCCGTAAACTTGACACGTGTCTGTTGTGATTGGAAGGATTCGTAAGAAAGCGGATTCCTAGAGAATGGAACGTATCTCTATCTTATAGGGGGGTCGACTGTATGCTAAGTGGAAATGCAGATTAGTTAACAATTCAATTTATATTTTCGCCTAAAATTCATACTTTTTAATGCATAATTGTTAAAACATTTTATAATAAATTATTTTTGTACAAATTCTGTAATTCATTGGTTTGCTTTCAAATCAAATCCTGTGGAAACTTAAATATAGACATTGGATATATATTTTCCTATGCAACCAGGTATACAGCACATATGAGGCATCTAGAAATAGTTATTTATTAGTATGGTAATATTATTTTAACAAAAAATAAAAAAGGGTTAAAAAAATAGCTTACTATAAAAACATTACAGTACAAATGTAACATTACTTTTTCCTGACACTTATATTGATAAACAATTTCCATGATGAAAAGTACGGAAATTCTTATTTAACACATTTATAACTACAGTAGAGCTTCGATTTTCCGACCTAATTGGGGACTGGGGTTGGTCGGATAATTGAAAGGGCGGATAACCGAAAAGTATGAAAAAATCCATTATTAGTGTAGTATATTATTATATCCCATGTAATTAGTATATTAGTATATCGCTATTAACCTACTTTGCGTTGAATTTTCATCGATATTAAGCCTAACAAAAATTTTTTAAAATAATAATCATCGCTATTGTATCGTTAAAAATTAGAAAATTAAGCCTCGTTTAAATACTGGCTCCCTTTCATGGTCGA